CTCATCATATCATATCATATAAAGGGGACATATTAATAACATGAGTTATCACTGATAATTCTAGGTATAAATTATTTTAAAATGCTTTTTTTAAATGCTCATGTATTGATTCCATTGTGGCTTGAGAATGCTTTAAAAATGAATGGTGTTCCAGCCAAAACCAGTATCTGTGGAAAATAGCATTATCTGTTTCCAGAGCAGTGACATTTTCAAAGCAATTTTTCAATTTTCAACAGTGAGCACCAATAAAATATTCTATTGTACTTATTTTTACATTTGTCCACTATCTTAAGTAATTTAGATCTGACCTAATTTGATTCAGATTTTGGCAGACATTCAAAATGACTTATTGGACCAATTTTAATTTTGTAAAAATAGAATTTAAGTTAGCTACAGGTAAGGGACTTGATGGTGAAATATAAAACAGAGCCTATTAAATATAAAATAGATTAAATATAAAATAGATTTTAAATATAAAATAGACTATTATAGAGTTATGAACAAATAATTACTCTCCTGCTTCTTGAAATAATGAAATATTATATCTTAATCCTTTTATTCACAGTTGAAAAAACAAGCAATTCAAAGATTTCTTGCTTTTTACAAGATATGTTGAAAATTGTCAAATGAAAGCTTCCTCAAAGACATTTTATGAAAAAATATTTTAAGAGAATAATTCAATTTTTGAAAATATAAATTTCATATGTAATACAACGTATGCTGATAATAATCATTACAAAGTACAATTCTTATTATAAAATTATATGGACATAATACACACATATCCTACTTGAACCATAACAGAGTTGACACTCTGACACTAATAAATTAATTTGGAGCTGCAGTTTGGAGTTGCAGTATTAGGAACTAGATGTCTAAGTATCTTTTAGGATGAGAACAAAAAAGTATTTTTTGTGTGTGTGCAGTATTGTGATCTCACTCTGAAGAAGATACCATCATAATACTATTAATAAGAAGTGGAAATGTAATAATATGTTTTTCAAAGTCACAAATTAAACATAAATAAACATTTATTTATTAAGTATATTAAAATTAGGTCAAATCAGTTTAAGTGCTTTTCAAATACACTTGTTGAATAAAAAAAGCATGACATTTTCCTTGTAAAAATTTAAAAAATAAAGAAAAATATTAATAAAAATTAATAGAATTAATCCATAATCCCTCAGATGGGAATAAGCTTCATTACACATATTCTACATTTAATTTCAGATTTACTGTATATACATTTTAAAAATTGAAATTAATATACAAGTATATTTGTGTGTGTGTAACTTGCATTCCATTAATTATCCATTATAACTTTTTTTTAGAATTCACTTAATAGTCATTGAAAGCACTCTTTAGAGGCTACTAAGTTGCTCAGTTTTTCATTGTATGCTCATTTTTTATTTAATGAAACCCCAAATATTAGACTTTTGGATTGATTACAATTTTTCAATATTTTAAAAACATTGTAGTAAACATCTCACAAATGTTGAAGGACATCTGATATTATTGCTTTTGAATAAATTCCTAGAAGGGAAATTATTTGGCAATATAAATGAATCAACATAGCTAAGGTTTTTTATAAGAATTATGAAATTACACTAAAATAGTTTGTACACATTATTTATTCCCATCGTCCGGATAGAGGGTAGTGATTTTTCCTATACCCTCCAAACTGGAGAATGATGACAGAATCTGTTCAGGGTCTCTTCAACTTCCTTTCCAAAGGCCCTAATATTAGGCAAGTGCCTAGGGCCTTCCTTTAGGTTAGCCTGATCAGGAAAAGATCTCCCACACATAGTACCACCGACATCCATCACCCCAACCCCCACTGTTTGTACCTAGTTCAGTGATTCAAAAACTGTATATTGAGGGCTTGAGTGAACAGAGAGTGAGGGGAAGAAAAGGAGGGGGAAAGATGAACACGGAAGAGTGGGACTGGTGTTTGGACATTTGAGTTCATGACGTCTACTTACCTGACTTTCTGTCAAATAATTTTTGAAAGAAGTGACACTCTCCACTTGAATGCAGGATCTATATATAAAAATACCAATTCTTTATCCATCTTTTCTCCAGGAGATTAAGCCTGTGAACACTGAAGGTCTGTAGAGGCAAGTAATCTCTCCTACTCTCCTTTGTGATTTCCAAAGCGTTGAAAATCTTCTATGCCCAAGTGGCAACTGCACTCACTGCCATATTTCTCAGGTGGATGTGCAATTTCTGAAAGGCTGCTGACTTCTGGAATCAAGTTACCTGGTTTGCGACCAAAGTTTTATAAACCGTCCCAAGCTTAGCCTGTGAGGGCTAGAACTAAACTTTAGCTTCTCTTGAGTTAATACTAAACCAAAAGCAATTCCATATTATGTTGAGTCTGTAGTCTCAGGTGGTTGATACTGAGTATGTGCATTTGTTTCCATTTTAATAAACTTCTTTCCTCTTCTCAGAAAAATTTTCACATATTTTATGATTTCACTTTTAGCATGTTTTCGTAAGTTTTATTGAGGTGGTGTCCATACCATTAAAAGCACCTTTTAAAGTGCACATTCAGCGGTTTTTAGTATATTTACAGACTTGTGCAGCCACTGTCATCTAATTTTAGAACATTTTTATCACCTCCCAAAAGAAACCCTATTCCCATGAACCACTAACCTTATAACTATTAACAGTTACTCTCCATCACCCCCACCAAGCAGCCTCTGGCAAATAATAATCTACTTTTTGTCTCAGAGGCTATTGCTCTTCTGGACATTTCAAACAAATGGAATCATCCAGTATGTGGCTTCTTGGTTCTGGCTTCTCTCACAGGGTTTTCAGGGTTCATTCTTGTGTTAATATGTATCCATACTTCCTTTCTTTTTATTATCAAATAATATTCCATTGTGTGGATACACCACATTTTCTTTACCCGTTTATCAGTGGATGGACATTTGAGTTGTTTCCAGTCTTTTGGCCATGGTGAATAATGCTTTTATGAACATTCATGTACAAGTGTTTTTGTGAGGCCATATGTTTTCAGTTCTCTTGAGCACATACTTAAATCAGAGGAACTCACCTCTTCCTGATACCACTCTTTCTTGACACGTGCCTGTCTCTCTGTCTGTTTCTGCATCAGGATATACTCTATGGTATATAAAAAAGTGGGAGTTATTTTGGCTAAATTCTCCTTTACCACAGAGAAACCAGGTTTGTCTTTGCTGTATGATTTGTTGTCATTGGTGTCCCTTTTTAGAATCTAAGCTCCTTTAAGACAAAAACTGTGTTTTCTCTTTACTCTCACAGTTCTAATATCTTATATGATAACAGGCCCAGATTAAGTATTTGGTAAAAACATTGCAACTGAAGGTGGGTTAGCAAATTTAAAAAGAAATGCAATGCCCTGACCGGTTTGGCTCAGTGGATAGAGCGTCGGCCTGCGGACTCAAGGGTCCCAGATTCGATTCCGGTCAAGGGCATGTACCTTGGTTGCGGGCACATCCCAAATACGGGGTGTGCAGGAGGCAGCTGATCTATGTTTCTAACTTTCTATCCCTCTCCCTTCCTCTCTGTAAAAAATCAATAAAATATATTTTTTAAAACTGAAAAATAAAAAGAAATGTGATGATACATACCAAGGCAAGAGGCAGACTCAATTGTGTGATAAACCATAAAAAGGGCTTTTTTTCCCCAAAAAGGCAAATCAGCTTTATAAAGTTTAAAGTAGATCATTACATTACAAAATGATTACTTTTTAAACTGGTTATTTTTAAATTGACTTACCACATCTTTGTAAAATACATACATTTCTGGTAAACAACTTATATTGATATATTGTGCTCAAGTAATTAAGGGGAAAATAGCCTATTTTTTTCTAAATATAAGTGAAATCTATTTTGTTTGCTATGGGAACAGGAGAAACTTTGAAAATAATAATTCATTTCTGCTTCTAAAACCTATTTTACACAATCTTTTGTAATGTTGTTACTACTGTGATCCCCTTACTTTTTATATTAATATCGGAAAATGAAAAAGCAGACTATGGCTCCTCGTCATTTACCCTCCCTCTGAGTGTGATGATGTCACTTAATGCACAACCTTTCAAGCTGTTCACAGCGGGTGGCATGCTGGAAGTCAGGGTGTCCCAACTCTCAGGCAACCCTAATGGCAAAAAGAAAGTAAGAATTTTCACTTTCGAATGCAGGAGTTATGAAGGTATCTTGACTCATTGAAATAATGAGTTTGTTATTTTTTAAATAACTTATTTTATGCTATTTATTTGGAAAATTCCAAAATAATAATATATAGAAAAATGAATATTCTATATTTTTCCTGTAGTTTTTGTAATGTTTTGTATTCATATATAGGTTAATTAAGGAAGTCATGGTTTGAATGTATATCCTAGTGGTATTTTTACTTTTTTAATTGAATCACAAAAGTTTCCCAAGTTTCTCTTCTTTGTGCTTTCCAAAACATTTTCCCAAATTGTTTTTAATTCAAAACAGAAATGTATTTTTTTTATTTGTGAAGGGATATGTATATATTTTAAAAGAAATAAATGTGTAAAATAGAATAAAACAGTCTTCACCACCTCATTCCCCAAAAGAGAAGCAGGGGTTGTGAGCATGTTATGAGAAGAGGGTCAGAGAGGCAAGAGGAGAACCTGGGAGTGGTGCTCTGAGAAGCATTCTGTAAAGTCTTTTAAATGAGGAGAGTTGAGTTGAAATGCACTAAAAGTGAAAACATATGAAAAATAAAGGAAATTCATTGTTTTTCATTAAGTTGTCACTTTTTTACTTGAAAAGCAATGAAGTGTTAAGTTCCAATTTTAAAATAAAAGTGGCTAGAAAGCATGGAAAATGTGTTGCACGTAGTAGTCACTTAATAAATGCTGACTTAACATGCTAATAATTCTGTGAACATCGTGTTTTATAGTTGAAACCGAAAAGCGGTTTATTAATAATATTGATTGCTATTATTATTATTATTTTGATGTGCCATCCTTGGTTGGTAAACACTTAAGGCTTTATTTTTCAATTTCCACTTAGGCCTCTTATGAAGGAGCTGGAGGGGAAATAAAATATACAGGATGAAAAGATGGCAATGTTGCCTCCCCCAGGACCTCAGAGCTTTGTCTACTTCACAAAACAGTCTCTTGCCCTCATTGAACAACGTATTGCTGAAAGTAAAGCAAAGGAACCCAAAGAAGAAAAGAAAGACGATCATGAAGAAGGCCCAAAGCCAAGCACTGACTTGGAAGCGGGCAAGCAACTGCCCTTCATCTACGGGGACATCCCTCCAGGCATGGTGTCAGAGCCGCTGGAGGACCTGGACCCCTACTATGCAGACAAGAAGGTGAGTTTCCTGGGACTGCAGGGTGCGGTCTCTGCCTCGTTCTGTACGGAAAGTTAGCTTAAATTGGAGTGGAATTTAGGGAAGATCCACATCATGACTAAAATATTCAAGTCAATACATATGTAGGATATTCAGAATATCTCCTTTTTCTAATTCTTTATTGAAACTGGTGCCATCATGCCATTTTGATTTCCTTAATCTTTTGAAAGTGTTCAGTATATTCTTCTGCCTTTTTGGACATGCCTTAAATGCATACCAGTAGGAACAAAGCAAGTGTCAACTGACAAGTCATGGGGATGTGTCCAGAATGCATTTTGTGGAGGTGACAGCTGACTCCCTGGGAAGATATAAGATCGCTCAATTAATAATGAAGTTTGGAGAGCTGCTTCTTTTACAGCAGGGGTCCTCAGACTTTTTAAACAGGGGGCCAATTCACTGTCCCTCAGACTGTTGGAGGGCCGGACTATAGTTTCAAAAAAAACCTATGAACAAATTCCTATGCACACTGCACATATCTTATTTTGAAGTAAAAAAACAAAACGGGGACAAATACAATATTTGTATTTGCATGTGGCCCGTGGGCCGTAGTTTGAGGACCCCTGCTTTACAGTGTTGGAGAGAAGGAGGAGTCTGAGATGGTCAGGGATGGATGGCATAAATCAGAAAAGTTTCCATTGTTCCAAGAAGAAGGCAAAAGAGCATCTCGTAAAATTACCCAGAAAGTTGTGGAGAGAAAGGCTATTGCAATGAGTAAGGACGAGAAGTCTCCGGGTCATTCTGACAGACATAGGACCCTTTTCCCTCTTTGCTCTCAAACTCCTCCATTTGTATTTCTCTGTATGATTCCTGTCACACCTTGTCTTTAATATATTAGAATTATCATGTTTCTGTTGCCTTTCTAGAAAGCTCCTTGAATGCAAAACTCATGCCTCACTTACGTTTAAACTCTTTTCATTGCCTGTTGTACTATAGTTGCTCACTACATAATTGTAGAAAATAATGGATGAGTGAATTTTAAGCATGGTATATTGAAATTTAAGAAAGCAGTACTCCTACTCAAGCACTAGGTATTAATTTTAAACTAATTTTCAATGTAAAAGTGAACTTTATGTTAAATTATGTTTAGACATAAAAGTAATACAGTGAAAAAGACCAGGAATATAAAAGGGCATCCAAAATTAATAGATTCAGATTCATTTTCTTGAGAAGAGTGTCACATGCAATTAAAAAGCAAGATATTCAAACTTATGTCCCCAATGTAGAAAAATATTGACTACCAGAAGCCCACTCATAAACTCGTATAAAATGCAGATTAAGTAACAACAATAAAACGACCCAGTCAGCATGTTCTAGTGAACACAATTTGCCTGCCAGTGCAGAAATATAAGACAAGGATTTGCCAAAACCGGTTTGGCTCAGTGGATAGAGCGTCGGTCTGTGGACTGAAAGGTCCCAGGGTCGATTCCGGTCAAGGGCATGTACCTGGGTTGCGGGCACATCCCCAGTAGGAGATGTGCTGGAGGCAGCTGATCGATGTTTCTCTCTCATCGATGTTTCTAACTCTCTATCTCTCTCCTTTCCTCTCTGTAACACATTAATAAAATATATTTTAAAAAAAAGACAAGGATTTGAACTTGGACTTTCTGATTTTCAATCCAAAAACAATAGATTGTTTTAGTGTTTTGGTATTGTTGCTATTTACTTATTTGGATTTTAAATGTTTTAAGAATGTTTAGTTCTATTTGTATCATTTTTAAAAATTACCATGGGTAGTAGCAAGCACTTTAACTTGTGTCCTTTTATTTTAGCTGTTATTAGTATTATGTCTAAAATAGGAAAATTGATCTGGGTACTAGGATTATTCCAACTCTAATATTTGTGAAAATATTTTTTGAAAGAATTTATATTTTGGAGCACTTTCTGCTAACCATAACAATAGCCAACAAGGATTAAAAGTGTCAAGGTGTTATGGTAAAAATCAGGGATAGATAGTTTTTAATTGGTTTGTTTACAATGCAGTGTAATGAATGAAGAAAGTTGTATTTTAAACTAATTCCAATGGCCACAACTTATTGTCACTGATGTGGGCATTGAAGGGATATAAAAAAGAAAAGACACTGTATTTTTGGGTGCTATAAGTAACACATGCTCATAAATACTTCACTTCCTAACCTGCTGAGAAGTAATGGACTTGGAATTCATTGGCCAGCATGATATATATAGTTGTTTCAATGGTAGTGGAACCGCATTGCTTGAGTCTGATGGCAGTGTTTCTTTAATATGACACTACCACATAGAAAGGAAAATTGCTGAGATTAATGTACTAAATTTTGGATTCTCAATTTCATCCTGTTTTCTTTTTGATCCTGCAGACTTTCATAGTATTGAACAGAGGGAAAGCAATCTTCCGTTTCAATGCCACACCTGCTCTGTACATGATCTCTCCTTTCAGTCCTCTGAGAAGAATATCTATTAAGATTTTAGTACATTCATATCCTTTTAAAAATGCTTACATGCAATGGTTCTTTCAAATGTACTTTTTGCATCTAATTTAATATAGATTTTTAATCCTTTCGTACCCGAAAAGACTGTTTTTAGTTTGTCATTTCAATATAATTTTGGTGTAGGTCTCTGGGAAGATTGGAAGAATGTCAGTTTTAAAATTTAGAATATATTACTCTAACCTATTACTCTCATGTTTAAAGAGATTTTTACAAAGTCTATAAATTTATTAATAACTAGAGGCCCAGTGCATGGATTCATGCACTGGTGGGTTCCTCTGGCCTGGCCTGGGGGATTGGGCCGAGACTGGCAGTCCAACATCCCCTAAGTGGTCCCAAAGTGTGAGAGGGCACTCTGCAAAGTTGCTGTTGCTCGGCAGCTCCTGCGTTGAGTGTCTGCCCTCTGGTGGTCAGTGCACATCATAGCTGCCAGCCAGTCAGCCAGTCAGCCGGTTCTTAGGCTTTTATATGCATAGGTTATTTTCTAAGAAAAAGATTTCAACAGGTGTTATTATTAAATATTCAAGATTCCTGCCATGGTCGTTCATCATATTCCTTGACTCTAAGCTACCTTGTTCGGCATGCTTATCATGTGCACTATTCTGACAAACTGCATATTTATGACCATGAGTAACCCTCCAGACTGGGCCAAGAACGTAGAGTAAGTGGGTATATGTACATTTTAACATGGTCTTTGTAGTACCATTGTTATCCTTTCCTTTTCCTACCAGAAGTTATTCCATCTATAAAAATTGTGGTGTTTATCTTTCCATGTTATATAGTTTCTTTTCTTCCTATTATTATTATTTTTCCTATGGTGTTAACCTGACAGCAGTAGAATAGAATATTTAGAAAAGAATAATTAGATGATACAGACTTTTCCAGAAGAATGAATGTATGAGACACCCTGCCTGTTGTTAGACATGTTATATATTTCTTATCCTTGGCTGTATTTCTGATAGGATCAACATAGGAACTTTCAAGGCATACCTAAACCTATGTTCTTAGTAATTTTCAGTACTTCTACTTTCTAGGAGAGTTTCCGATATAGACATCTTAAGGTGTGTTTTTTTTTTTGAAAGACCTTGACTATTAGTTTATTTTAATAGTTAGAGTGGGTCCATAAGCCAACAGCCACACTGCAGTAGATGCCTTCCTTTGGTTAATCAGGAAAAAATAAATTATAAAGATTCACCTAGTGCTGTATTCTTTTCATATTTAATATCCCAATGGATTCTTGTGTCTAGGTACACTTTTACTGGAATATATACTTTTGAATCACTTATAAAAATCCTTGCAAGAGGCTTCTGTATAGGAGAATTCACTTTCCTTCGTGACCCATGGAACTGGCTTGATTTTATCGTCATTGTTTTTGCGTAAGTACTACATTCAGTTTTTCAAATGGCAAATTTGTGAAAATCACAGACAGCACAGTATTTCAGTAAGAACAATGCTTACATTTGAATGAAACTGTATAAAAGCTAGTCATTTGTTGGCAAATACTAACTTTTATAGGAAGATCATTTCTCACTCGAATATGTATGACATCATTAAGATTAATCATCTCCCTCTGCGCCCAGCATTTGGATGGACAGTTTATATGGTACCAATTAGGTTCACACATTTTCCAAGTTCTTACTTAAACACAAATAAAACTTGTTTTAATCAAAGAAAAAAAATAGGTCTTTAATTATAAGTATGGTGCCCTTTTTATTAATATAAACTGTTCAAGTGCTAATAAATATATTAAAATATAGAAGTCTCTCTCTATATAAAAGGCTAATATGCTAAGTGTCCTTCCCTCCATCCTGATAATGATATCACATAGCAATGCACAGCTTCCTCTCCCTAGCGATGACTAGCCTCCTTGCAGTTTCTTCAGTCCAGGAACACGACTTGCTTATAGCCAGGTGGAAACACTTTATACTTTAACCAAATGTCTGTGAAGCTGCTATGTTGCTGACAATTACCTAAAAGAGAAGTTGGGGTGCTTCACTGGGCTGGAAAAAGTTTAGCTACATCAGAAAGCAGGTCTAATTAAGCAAGTTTACCCTATATCTATAAAAGGCTAAATTGACTCGCGCATGCACGATACATATAAAGTTCTCACTGGCACCAATCGCATGCATGTGTTTCGATCTCTCATTGTCTATTGTGAATTTGGTTGACACTTCTATTATAGAGAAAGGGCAAATAGCGATATTAAAATATTTCTTCTAATTAATTTCCTTTCAATGTGCTTGAATTCATGCACCAGGCCACTAGTATATTTTATAAGGGCTGTCACTGCATATTAAACCTAACATTAATGCATCGTATATGTATTACACATGCATCCCCAGTTTATTTTCAAGGGGAAAAATACTAACATATAATTGTAATTGATTCACATGGTTACTTTCTTCCAAAATATGTCAGAAACATTTAAAAAAAATTTTTTTAAATCTCAAACCTAGATAGAATATTTTTGGCTCTATCATTTTGATGTAAAAGTAGTGGATGTTCATTGAAAGAAATTAGACAAAACCGAAGGGTCTTTTTAGATTTCTGGTCTCCGGTTCCCTCACCCCCTGACCCGCCTCCATGTCCATTAGGCTCCCTCCTTTCATGACCACACATGACTGCAGTTGTACCTACCACTTACTGATGAGACAACATTGTGTCACACAACATTGTGTCATTACAAAACTATTTCTGTAATCCCTGAGAAGTGGGGAGTCTCCTTTACTATAGAAATAGACTACACAGACCATGAAATTTACCCCTTTACAGTATAAAATTCAGTGTTCTTAGTATGTTCAGAAAGTTGTGCAACCACTACCACTCCAATTTCAGAATATTTTCATCACCCCCAAAAAGCAGTCACTTCCATTCACCCCCCTCCCCTGGCTACTGGAAGGCTCTCATCTATGTTTCATCTCTATGGATTTGTCTACTGTAGTCTTTTCACATGAATGGAACCATGTAGCATGTGGCCTTTTGTGTCTGGCTTCTTTCACTTAGCATACAGTTTCCCAGGTTTGCCACTGATATTTTATAAGATTATTAAATATCTATAGTACCCTAATGTTGAGATCTAATAACTGAAGCATGTAATTGTTTATTTAGGCATTTAAGTGTATGAAACCATTTTAATGACATATTTATATTTTGCTCACATCAAATATGTCAATTAAAATCTATTTAAATTCAATTAGGTATGATAGGAAAGAAAAGGGTTGCAGAAGTATATCTTTAAGACTTTCCAAATGTAGGAAATACCTTGACTAAAGGCACAGGTAAGTATCATAGACTCTATCTAAATTCTGAATAACTCTGATTTAATTCTACAGGTATTTAACAGAATTTGTAAACCTAGGCAATGTTTCAGCTCTTCGAACTTTCAGAGTGTTGAGAGCTTTGAAAACTATTTCTGTAATCCCAGGTAAGAAGTGATTGGTGCGAAGCATTAGGCCACTCATAACTCCAACTATTTGGGAGTTGTTCTTTGTGTTTGTGCGTGTGTTGTCACTGTGTTTGTGTATAAACTCCCTATTGCAGATATGTGACAGAGTTTGTGGACCTGGGCAATGTCTCAGCGTTGAGAACATTCAGAGTTCTCCGAGCACTGAAAACTATTTCAGTCATTCCAGGTGAGAGTTAAACACCGGGGCTGACTTTGGTCATTTGGAGAAAAGACAAGAAAGACTTTCTCTTATGAAAATTTAATGAATCTAATTTTTTTATGTTTTTCAGAATCCTTATTAAAAGTCAGCCTTTGTGTTTAATCAATTGCATGGGTCTTAGAGGATGAAGATGGCCATTTGGCTCACATCTCAACTTGAAATTTTCCCTCCTGTCTTATCAGTTCATTTTCCATTTGCCTGATTCAGGAATGAAAATTTCAATTTGTTTACATTGCTTTTCATAGAGTTAAGAAAAGAGAGAGAATATCAGCATGGAGGTATTGCATGACATATTTCTTTTATCTTTCCTCAACAAACCATTTCTTAACTGAAAATTAGTAAGTTGTCACTATGCATTGCAAGTCAGCCTCTTTGTTTTAGGACTAGTATATAGAGAAATGGTTTGTGTGACAAGAATTTACTGAATTGACACTTTTAAAAAATTATTTTTTACAAGTGAGTGTGGATACGGTTTGAGCAACCAAATCTTTTACTTTGACAATTTGGTTATTCATTGGAAATGTTTTACAGTTTTTAATCATTTGCAATAATATATGGGAACAATATATAAAAACCAGCAAATCCACCTTTTTGACCTCGTGGGCTTTTTTTGAGTTAGGCTATTTAAGGTCACTGACCTGACAAAATGCATGCGTTTCCAGGAAAGCTGTGTTTGTTTCTCATTCAAAAACTTTATTTCATTGTGAATACCTTTCTTTTTACGCCCTCTGCATTCAGGCCTGAAGACCATCGTGGGGGCCCTGATCCAGTCGGTGAAGAAGCTCTCAGACGTCATGATCCTGACGGTGTTCTGTCTGAGCGTGTTTGCGCTGATCGGCCTGCAGCTCTTCATGGGCAGCCTGAAACACAAATGTCTGCGGGCTTCCCTTGAAAGTAATGAATCAAGCACGTTGGACGACCTTGATGAAGAGCTCTACAGAGGTACGACCGTCCCTACAGTGGCTCAGAGGTTGAAATAAAGCTAAAAGCATTGATTTCTTTGAAGGTTAAATGTTGCTTTCATTTTAATTATTTCAGAATTATTCAAATATGTAGAAAGTTGCTACAGTATGAATTTGGATCATATTATATTTTTAATAACTCTCCCTGGTTCAGAGCTTTCTAGCAGTCCTGGTATTGGAAGCATGAGATACTTTCATAATTCTCAATTTCTGTAAGATAAAAAAGAATAAATTTGCTCTAGAGAAATCAATTTAGCTATGAATTAATACTATTAATTATTACATTTCATCCATAAGATATATTTTTATGTATTTAATTTTATTGTATAATCTTTACCTTTGTTCATTTTATAGTGTAATTTATTATATGAGAATATAATTATGTTTTACATGTTTATAACTATAATAGTATGATATACTTATATTAGTTATAATATAACTAGAGGCCCGGTACACAAAAATTTGTGCACAGGTGGGGGGGGGGGTGTCCCTCAGCCCGACCTGTGCCCTCTCACAGTCTGGGACCCCTCAGGGCATGACCACCTGCTGGCTTAGATACAATCTAAAACAAGAAAACTAAAGGTTTTCAAATAAAATGTACATTTTTTTTACTGGCTTTTGATGAAGAATTTAGCGTATTTTTCTTTTTATCTTTATTTTTTCAATTTCTAATTTTTGTTAATATGATCTTACATTTTATTTCCAATTTCCAAAGAATTTTATTCCTCAATTTATATGCCATAAAAGTAATATATCTTATGGTAAATTATTTGCATTTACCTTCTCTTTTGTGAATCAGTGTACAACTTTTATTTAAAAGCCTTTTTTTTTTTTTAACTAGTCCTTTTACTCTTATTCTTGGTTCCATTACTGAGTTTGGAATTTGAATGATTTTTTTTAAACCTTCTGAAATGGTCTCAAGCAATTCTTCTTTTTTTTTTTTCAAAAGAAGTAGAAAGAATCCTTGAATTTTTTAGTGTGTCTTTATATTGCCTTTACACATGAGGGACAGCTAAGTCAACAATAAAATATTATTCCATAATCATTTGCCTCAGTACTGTACATTTTTCTTGGTTTTCTTCTGAAATATTGGCTTAGATGTTTATTATCATGTTTATTACTGTTCATTGCCTGGCCCATAAGAGCTTATCAATAAATATTTGAGGGAGACTAGAAAAGAAAGAAATAAATAAATGCATGTTGCCTAAATGTGTGTGAATGTCTATATTAACTTACCTGCTGCAGCTTACACTCCATAACCTTCTACTGTTCAATTTCTTCCCACACAGATTATTTTTATTTCTTGGAGGGATCTAAAGATGCTCTCCTCTGTGGTAACAGCACAGACTCAGGGTACGTAGTATTTGTTTTTAGTGTAAAGACTTAAAAAAAAAAAAGGAAAAACATACTCATTCAGATTGCTGATAAGAACCTTTGATTCATATTGTTTTTACGTATTTCATGGCATCATTTAATTCCTTCTGCCCCCACAGTGAGTTCAGACTTTATAAGGTTCATAGTTACTGTGTACCTTTGAATGTAAGACTTGGAGGTAGTGTTTAAATGAAAACAAGATATACATCATATAAGCCTTAAGACAGTAGAAAAAAAAAGATTTCCGTAAACCCCACCAAACATTGGTGGGTTACTTTTCAGCTTTGCTTCTTTCTGAAGAAAATCAAATATTCTTTCCACCCTCAAATTCTACTCATTCTCCAATCAAGTGTGACTGATAGGTGACTGAATGCAGTGACTTTGGGGAGCACTCTAAAAAAAAAGGGGATCTCATGGACTTGGGAAAAGACATTTTTAAAATCTCATATTAATGCAAATATCCACCTTGCTATTTCTCCTGCACACCAATTTTATCTCTGCTGCAGAATTTTCTACTTGCTCTCCTTCTGCTCAGATAGATATCTCTTCACCAGGCCATGTATGCACTGGAAACTTAAAAATAAAGATGATAAGGTGGCAGCTCCCAAAGACACCTCAGAACACTTTATTTAGCATCATGCATACCAATCCACCAATTTGAGGAAGGAAGAGTCTTAAGGCTACAAATCTTTATATATATATATGGTCTTTGCAATAATATATATATATTAGAAGCCCAGTGTGCAAAATTGCGCGGCCCTGTCCACTGATGCGGTCTGGCCACACTTGCAGCCCTGCCCACCTGCGCTGGTCTTTGGCCGTTACAGCGTTAGGGCCACAGGCCCTTTATAATAGAGATAATATTATATATATTATTGTTTTCAGAGAGAGGAAGGGAGAGGGAGAGAAGGATAGAAACATCAATGTAGAGAGAGAATCATTGATTGGCTGCCTCCTGCATGCCCCCTATTGGGGTTCAAGCCTGCAACCTGGGCATGTGCTCTGACCTGGAATTGAACAGTGACCTCCTGGTTCATGAGTCGATACTCAACCACCCAGCTACACCAGCCAAGCTGCTCTGACTATTCTTGATTGTGATTCACTCCAGGAATAATACAGGTGGGGGTGAGGGGAGACACAGTTCTGCTAGAGGCCTATATCAATCTTTATAGATACAATAACTATTATATGACATCTGGTGTATGTTTCCAAGTATTAATGGTGATGATGATGATATAATAGCAGCTACTGTTTATGTGCAGGAACTAGGCTAGGTAATTTGCATACATTATCTTCTTTAAACTTAACAATCTTAACCATTTGAGATAGGTGTTATCTTGTTTTCACAGAAAGAGGGCACTGGCCTTAAAAAATGTAAGTAATTTGACAGATTTACCAACTAGTAAATAGTAGGGGTAGGATTCTAACCCAGTTCCTCCTAACTCAAAAAAATCTGTTCTTAATCATTATTCAATATTGACACCCCCCCCCCCATAAAGGAACCTTGAGTTTCCCACTTTTCTGTAGGATTGTTTAGCTTATATCCTGAAGCCACTCTGAGTTGTTATTCCTTTTCTCATGTAGTCAGTGTCCAGAAGGGTACGTATGTGTGAAAGGAGGCAGAAACCCAGACTATGGCTACACGAGCTTTGACACTTTCGGTTGGGCCTTCTTAGCCTTGTTTAGGCTAATGACCCAGGATTACTGGGAAAACCTTTACCAACAGGTGAGTGCCAAGAGAAACATTCATTGCATTCATTGCATAATCTGATGTATGGCTCTTGCCTGCTCTAAATATGTGATGTCTTATTCAATTTAGAGTGGAGAAAACGAGAAAACTCTATTGTCTTGGTATTAAAATTTAACATTTTCTGCTTCCAGCACTAGTAAATGGATAGTTCTTGATTGAAAAATTACTTCATTATCTTTCCTGGACTTATTTGATCTCTAAATCTTTGCCCCCTTTTGCAAATGTAGAATCCCATAATGTAGAATCCCATAATTTCTTGCTAAGTAAATAGCAAGAAATATATTGTAATATTCTCTCCTACCTCCCTTGAACAAACTATGCTTTCCTCATGTGCCTTTCTGCTTCAAGTGCCCTAAAAGCCAGGCTGGCCTATGCTCACCATGCTTTATTTTTGAACTCCCATATACAATTGTTATGGACTGAATTGCATGCCTCCAAATCCATATGTTGAAATCCTAACTCCCGGTACCTTAGAATGACTATATTTGGAGCTAGAGCCTATGAAGAGGTAACTGAGTTAAAATTAGTCTATTAGGGTGCATCATAATCCAATCTGACTGGTGGTCTCATGAGAAAAGAAGATTCAGACATGAGCAAGAGAGACACCAGATACACACACACACGGAGAGAAAATGCCATGTGAGAATTCAGTGAGGAGGTGGCCATCTGCAAGGCAAGGAAAGAGGCCCCAGGAGATACGTACATGCCAACACTTTCATATTGAACTTCCAGCCTTCAGACTGTGAGAAACACATTTCTGTTGTTTAAGCTACACAGTCTGTGGCATTTTGTTATGGCAGCCCTGGAAAATTAACACAATAGTAAAAGACTCAATTCACTTCTCTAAATTCTCCTCTTCCAATTCAGTTGCTCCTTGCTCTAGACCTGCATGCCCTTTGCACATTCTTCAGTTTAAAGCATCCACCTCTTGTACTGTAATTGTTAATTCACATGGTCATCTCCCCTAACTTCAATGTGATCCTCTTGGGCCTGTGGGCTCTATCTTATCCCCCAAGAGGAAGGAGACAAAAAATGATGATTCTGTATTATAGATAACTAGAGGCCCGGTGCACAAAAAAATTGTGCACTCAGGGGGGAGGGGGGTCCCTCAGCCTGGCCTGTGCCCTCTCGCAGTCTGGGACCCCTCGGGAGATAACGCCCTGCTGGCTTAGGCCTGCTCCCGGGTGGCAGAGGGCAGGCCCAATCCCTAGGTGCAGCCCCTGGTCGGGCTCAGAGCAGGGCCGATGCACCCCCAGGGGCACCGCCCCCTGTCATGCACAGAGCAGGGCAGATCGGGAGGTTGCGATGCTGCCCTCAGTCACGCTCAGGGTAGGGCCGATTGGGGGGGTGGGCCGCCATCCCGTCACACTCAAAGCAAGGTCGATGGGGAGGTTGCGGCACCACCCCCTGTCATGCACAGAGCAGGGTGGATCAGGGGGTTGTGGTGCCACCCCTGTCACATAAAGAGCTGGCCGATCAGGGGGGTGGGGAACTACCC